CGACGTCGCCGAAAAAGGCGACGTCGTGTCGCCTCGGCGACGTCGCCGAGAAAGGCGTTGCGTCGCCTCGATTTTATTTAAATTATTAATATATATATTTAATATATATATATATTAATATATATATATATATTAATATATATATATATATATTAATATATATATATATATATATATTATTATTATTTGTTCCGTCCGGTAACGAGCGGTCCGCGTACCGATATACCATCGGACCGGTACATACCGCTCGTACCGGGCGGTACGGGTCGGTATGGCAATCTTTGCTATTAATATTAATCATTTTACCTCTTCTAACTACTGCATCCGGAGGTCTCCTAAGCACGTACCTTTACTATTTGAAACGATTTTTTCTCATTTTATCTATTCGTTATCGAAGTGATACCTGGTTGTTCATGAATAAAAGAGTTTTTTTTCCTATCTTTTCTAGTAATTTCATATATCTTTCTCAATATTCTCATCTTGGCAACACAAACTTTTTGTATATATTGTTTCTTCACTACCAGTATCTATAAAGTATTGTTGGTCTCACAGTTATGTTATAAAATTTTTCTTTTAATCTTAAAAGTATCTAATGAGCACACAAGACTCCTGACGTTCTTCATCAGTTTAACCATTCTATTTTTACTCTTTGAATTAAATCTTCACCGATTACTCCATCTTATTGAATAATGATCTAAGATATCTAAAGTTTTTATTTAAAAGAATTTCTTGTCCATCCAAATTATCTATATTCTCTTGTCTATTTCTAGAATAACTAAAATTATATTTTATATTTTCAGTTTTGGTCCTGCTTAATGTGAAACATTTAGTTTTCAAGACTTGCCTTTATAGTTTAATTTTATAATTAATACCACTTAGGCTCTCGTCAACTAAGACAATATTATTAGTAAATAATATACACTAGGGAAGCTTATCATATAAGTGATTAATAAGTTCATCCATTATCAATGTGAAATAGTAGAGACTTAATGCGGATCCTTGATATAATCCTATGCTAATAGGAAACTCACTCGACACATTTTCTATAGTTCTGATACTAGTAGCTACATTATCATTACATATTTTAATAACATCAATATAATTAGTGGATACACATTTCTTTTTTAAAACCCACCATAATAAATCTTTTGGAACCCTATCATAGGCTTTCTCTAAGTTAATAAAAATCATATGCAAATCTTTCTTTTTCTCCCTATACTTTTTCATTAATTGTCTTAATAAATAAATAACTTCTATGGTTGATCTTCTATGCATAAAACCAAATTAATTTTCAGAGATATTTGTTTCAAGACTTATCTTACTTTCGATAACTCTTTCCCAAAA